ATGGTTGATGATAAGTAGGTAAATAGACGATAGTATATGTGGTTGATGATAAGTAGGTTCATAGATGATAGTATAGGTGGTTGATGATAAGTAGGTACATAGACGATAGTATATATGGTTGATGATAAGTAGGTACCTAGTGGATGGTATACGTGGTTGATGATAAGTAGGTACATAGAGGATAGTATAGGTGGTTGATGATAAGTAGGTACCTAGTGGATGGTATAGGTGGTTGATGATAAGTAGGTACATAGCGGATAGTACAGGTGTTTGATGATAAGTAGGTACATAGTGGATAGTATAGGTGTTTGATGATAAGTAGGTACATAGAGGATAGTATAGGTGGTTGATGATAAGTAGGTACATAGAGGATTGTATAGGTGGTTGATGATAAGTAGGTACATAGAGGATTGTATAGGTGGTTGATGATACGTAGGTACATAGCGGATAGTATAGGTGATTGATGATAAGTAGGTACATAGTGGATAGTACAGGTGGTTGATGATAAGTAGGTACATAGAGGATTGTATAGGTGGTTGATGATAAGTAGGTACATAGTGGATAGTATAGGTGGTTGATGATAAGTAGGTACATAGTGGATAGTATAGGTGGTTTATGATAAGTAGGTACATAAAGGATAGTATAGGTGGTTGATGATAAGTAGGTACATAGTGGATAGTATAGGTGGTTGATGATAAGTAGGTACATAGTGGATAGTATAGGTGGTGGATGATAAGTAGGTTCATAGATGATAGTATAGGTGGTTGATGATAAGTAGGTACATAGACGATAGTAGATATGGTTGATGATAAGTAGGTACATAGACGATAGTATATATGGTTGATGATAAGTAGGTACCTAGTGGATGGTATAGGTGGTTGATGATAAGTACGTACCTAGTGGATGGTATAGGTGGTTGATGATAAGTAGGTACATAGACGATAGTATATATGGTTGATGATAAGTAGGTACCTAGTGGATGGTATACGTGGTTGATGATAAGTAGGTACCTAGTGGATAGTATAGGTGGTTGATGATAAGTAGGCACATAGAGGATAGTTTATCTTGTTTACAATCATGAAATTATTCAGTTGAACTGTTTGCAAATGTATAACTATGATTATGAGTGTCAGAAAGCACAAATGGCTTGGTTAAGGAACGTGTGCGGATCTAGGGGGAAGCGTGCAAGGTGCGCGCCCCCTTCAGCCCGCAAACAAAAATTGTCAAATAAATTGACAATCCCAGTCCACGACTATAGGAGCGCCCCCATTTTGCCGAATTTCTGGATCCTCCAGTGGTGCCCGCCGCCCGGTTTTGTGCATATGGTCTAACGTTTCCAGATTTCGGATGTCCCTGATATCGTGTGGGTGTAATATAATTGACATATATTTATGACAGTGTCAATATATGTGTCCGAAGTACATATCTTTTTCTTGCCATCCAGTTACGATGTGTGATTTGAATTGGCCTGCATGAGGTGAACGTTATCATCGTGATATGTGTTTGTTTACTAAGCATTTTTTGGGCGAATGGAAACCACGATGTGTAATGTAGCTAGATGATAAGGTGATTAGGCGTTGCTTCGCATCACAAGTTTATTTTATTGTATATATTATATTATATTATATTATATTATATTATATTATATTATATTATATTATATTATATTATATTATATTATATTATATTATATTATATTAT